TTCAGTGGGTCAAAGCCATTTCCTCTCGGCCTCCACATGGGGCTGAGCGCGCTCTAAACCCAAACTACTGGAGGATCGAGACGCACACGTTTACTTCTGCTCGTCTTATTTGTTCTTTCTTTTTTGTTTGTCCTTTAGTTCTTTTATACGTTTTTCATTCTTTCTTTATTCCTCCGGTCTTTAACTATTCTATTTGTTTTATTCTCTCTTTTGCCCTTCCTTCATTTGTCCTTTTTCTTCTTTTATTCTGTTTGCTCGTTCATTCTTTTCCGTTCGTTTTTCGTTCATTTGTTTTTCGTTCATTTGTTTCTCATTTGTTCGAATTTTCTTGGTTCATTCTTTTTGTTCGTTTGTGATCTTTCGTCATTCCGTCCTCCTTCGTTTGTTCTTTCATCCTTTCTTCGGTCATTCATTCTTCATTTGTTCCTTCATTTGTTCTGCTTATGTTCTTTTGTTCTGTCCTTCATTCTTCGTTCATGTTTTCCTCCTTCGTTTGTCATTTCTTAGTTCGTTTGTTCATTCCTTCTTCGTTCATTCATGTTCGTTTGTTCTTCGTTTTTTTCCTCATTTCTTCATTCATATGTTGTTTTTGTTCCTCTGTTGTTGTTTGTTTGTTCCTCCCTTTGTTTTTTTTTCTTCTTTGTTCGTTCTTCATTTGTTTGTTTGTTCCTTCCTTGCTTCATTCCTTTTCATTTGTTCATTTTTTGTTCGTTCTTTCATTCATTTTGTTTGTTCGTTTATTTTTCCTTTCATCCTTTGTTTCGTTGAAGTGCTGCAGGAACTGTTTCCATGATTTCAGCTCTCTCTTTGTCTCTTTCTCCCTCTCCGATCCCTGACTTTCCCTCGTTTTCTCGTGCATGGCGTTGTGGATCATTCCTGTACCGCTGCGTCTCGATCGCGGCTCTGCTGGTGTTCAGCGTTCGCTGGTACTCATTGTTCTGGTCCTGATGGACCACCTACCTCAACACATATAATTCCCCTCCGGTATGCCAAGCATGTGAATAAAAAGGGTGAACTCGCATGACAAATGGAGCAAAATAACACCCATTTAACTGTCTTTGAACAGGTGTTCAGAACCACAGAGTCGTCTTTAATCATCTTGATTTTATCTTAAATATCTGAAAGTATAAGGTTTAATTTTATTTTTAAGTTTTTAACCCCTTTTTTGTGATTTTTGTTGGGATTTGATGTGATAGAGCAACACTTGAGTTGTGTATAATCGTGAAGTGAACGTTACAAGGACTTTTTTTTTCTTTTGGCAAATCTGAAAAGTGTGGTGGGCACTTCATTTAGCTGACACACCTCTCACACACATTTACATTTGTAAACCTTTTTAGATCTTTCTCTTCAATTAGGTGTTTTCAAGGCCTGGAAAGTTCTTGATTTCTGAAAAAAAAAATCCTAAGTGCTTAATAGTTGATTTGTTTTTATCAAAATCTTTCAAACTCTTTGAAAGATTTTGAGTTAATCTGAGTTACAACATTTAATTTCCCTTTAGGAAGCATTTTTGAATTTGAATTGACCTCTTTTGACGTTTCTTGTGGTTGCAGGACTGTTTGAGGGCGTGCCAGGAGCAAATCGAGCGTGTGCTGGCCTCCAGCCTGCAGCAGGGCCAGCAGTATGGACCCGACAGCGCCGTCAGAGGTGGCAGCAAGTCCAGGGAGCAGCAGGATCAGTCGAGCACCCCCACGGACGTGCGCGACGTCAACTTATGAGCTCCCATCGCCACCTGACTCGGCCGCCGCGTGCCTGCTTACCAATGAACTGACAGGAGCGAGACGCTGGAGGGAGAGAGGGGGCATTAACTGCCAGTATCTATTTTAAGTTGCCCCCTTCAGTGATGGTGCGACAATCTATGAACTTTTAGAAACTAAGAAATTTGTAGTTTTTCTCTTTCTTTTATTTTTTTTGCCCCATTCACACTTGGTTTGGGTCTTTTTTCATCTTTTTTGTACACGTCTCTAGCTATTTAAGAAAAGAAACGGATGAATAATTGTTGAAGACTTGATAGTGCCTTAGGTTCCAAAAACCTGAAAATATTTTTCATACTTGAAAATTGCATAAATGTATGAGATATACCGAATGATGTATATTTAGCCAGCATTTATAACTCTTTAACCAGCTTTAGTGAGTAGTAGTTATCGATTTACAAGAGTTTTCCTTCATTTGGAATTCCATATAGCAGTAATTAAAGCAGAGGAGTGCTACCGTAGCTAGCGGCTCCGTCTATCATACTGTGCACCTGTAGCACGGCTTACTATTTATGCAGAGAGGTGCTGGCTCAGAGTGGGCTGGGCCTGCTCACGGAGGAGAAATGAAACAGGTTTGTGGTCCGGAGCAGTCGCTGCTGTTGACTCCATGGAGTGGCGTTTGAATTCACCAAAGCCACGTTATTGTTTTTTGATGTTGTGTTCAAGCACATTTAGGAGTGTTTAAATAGCGCAGAAGGGGTTAGCATTGATGAAAGAGTTTTTAAAAAATAAGTTTTTGCAAGTTCTTCAAGGTTTCAGAGGCTGAGCAGTTTGTTGGGAAGGAGAGTCGAAAGCAAGTGCAAAGTGGTTGAAAAGTGAGCAGAATGTGGGGTGAAAGAGAAAGCAAGGAGGATATTTTTTTAAGCTTTATGATATTTCTGCAGGATTTTTGTTTTGCAGAAAATCGGCGAAATGTCGTTTTTGGGGTTTTTCTCCTGTTATCAATTACACCATTGGGCCTTTTGTAGAGAGGGCGACGTGGAACGATATCAATGCACTTTTAAAACACACTCCTTAAGTTTCGGTAAGGGGATGGTTTGTGAGGACAAGTTCGGAGGGGTCATTTGTTTTTATTCTATCTTTTTCTTTTAAGTTATTTGGGTTTTTTCTGGGCTGGATTCCCATGGGGTGAAGCATGTTGTCTTGAATGCTTTGCCTCAATTGGTGAGTAGACTTATAAAAATCACCCTCCTAATGTAAAAGTTTATAAATCAAGGCAAGCCACAGGTAGACATCTGTGCTCTTGATGTCTACCTATCGTGTCATCCTAAACTTGAATTTATTCCATTTCCAGATTTAGACCCATTCCATTAGATCTAATAGTTACATCCTTCTGTTTTGTGTTTATTTCTTGTTTCTGATCTGCAGTTTCTTTCAAAGGCGCCCCTTTGACACGTGTAAATACCCGACAAATGCTTGAAACTGTTTCTCGTTTGTTCTGATGCCTTTTTCGATGTGCAAAAAAAAAAAGCCAAATCGTTTTAAAAAAATGCTTTAAGGTTGAGCATGTTTAATGCTTTTATGTTTTTTCCAAAGTAAAAAACAAATAATCGACGACATTCTTTGCTGCTATTAAGCTTTTTCTTTTCTAGTCTTACACAAAAATGCCTTATTGTCATTCACTTGTGTGCTGCTATATTTTAATATGTTGTGTATGTAAAAAGTCTGCTTTTCTCTGTCAATGTACCAGAGGGAAAAGGAGCAGTTTGGTGCGGGACTGGAAATCTGTTTTGATCAGCATGTTTTATTCATTTATTGTTTTAATCGTTGTAATCTTTGTTCTATCTTCGTTCTCTCAATATTCTTGCTGCTTCTTATGTACCTCAGGATAATTAATTGGATAGACACAGCGAGAGGCCATCTCACATTACCTCATCACATGTCACATCACACAGAATGACTTCGCTCCTAAATCGTCGGACGGGTTTCACTTTTTTTTTTTTTTTCCTGTATGTTAATAAATCCACATACCAGATTTCACTGATTTTTAAAGTGCCTCCAGCCTACTTTAAAATGGCTAATTTTCATATCTGGTGCTAGTTAAAAATAAAAAGCCTATACTGTGTTTTATAATTGTCTGAAAAAATCCATTCGGGGAAACAAGTTTGGATCAGTTCAATGAAATGCATTGTCATTTATTTTTATCGAGGTACCCATTTACTCGATTCTACAATTGTTTGCTGTGGTTGTTCATACAAATCCTTTTCCCATTTATCCCCATGTGCAGCCACCTGTGTACCTCAATAATTTGTTCTAAATAAATTGGCTAAAATCACTGGTGTGGCTTGTCTTTCTGTTGTAATGCTTAGCTGCCACCAGGGGGTGCTAGAGTTGTCAGAAATGATGCAATAGAGAGAAAAAGTGATAACGGGCTTCATTATTAAAATAGTAAAGGTCAACAGAAGTAATGCAGAGTAATGTGAGGAAGGAGCAGAGTCTAGAGGTCAATAATCTCAAACAGGTGTGTGGAAATCGAGAAGAGATGTCGGAATTTCAACATGACAACGCCAATAAACGCCATTTTAGGCCTTAATTTCCACAGGCAAACGGCACTTTTACTTTGTTCAACTTACAGTCTTGGGAAATATTTGTAACGTTGATTTTAGGTGCTTTTCTACACGTCTGTCTTCTAAAACAAACGTTTTACAAGACAGCAACATCTTCCTGCTGTTGCTGCGAGAAGAAGCGGCCATCTTGAATTTGAAACGCGAAGTCTTAATTGAGAGTAGTTGGAGTTGCGCCCAGTTTTCCAGTGACAGAAGCGACTCCCGTTGGAGGAAGTCCTAGTTGACTTTTTCCAACTGAGAAGTCTTAACTCATATTTTGATCTGAATCAAATTACATGACAATTTAAATATTTACTAACACACTTTTGATATAATTGTAGCTAAGATAGTTATAAAATTGCAGTGTTTTTAGTACGTTAGAAGTGTAATGTATTAATAATTTTTTTCACCTGCTTAAAACATATTGTGTATTAGAATAATAATTACCAAGCCTTATAACCAGGGGTATCAGTACACACAATCAATTTGTCTTACAAGTGAATAAAACTCATTAAATCATCTTAATAAATAAATATATATATTTCAATTATTATTTATTTAAATTGTTTATTCGTTCCTTCAAACCGCATTGTGTTTAAATTGCGTTATAAAGTCATGCAACGTTTAAAAATCGCATTTTAATTTTCCGACAGCTCCACCGCAATGCGTCATGACGGAGAACGCTACGTCCTGTGACGTATGACTCAACCAGGAAGTAGCAGGTGAAAATGGTAACGTTCACGCTAACGTTCATACGCCAGTAAGTTGGTCTTTTAACAGCTCGTTTCTACTCCAGTTGTTTGAATTCGCAGCTTATATGTGTGGCAAAGACACATGAGGTTATTTTTACGGGCTAATTGGTGAAATAACGTCGACTAATATGAAGTTTGACTTTGTTCTCTCACTATAACAATGTGACCCATTTAATTCATTCACTTTGTTTTCAAACAGTGGGGAGACGCAGTACAACAGAGACAAGCTCCTGCAAGGTAAATAATACTCACAAGGATTTATTTATTAAACTCTGTTTAGGTTACAGGAAAAGGGGTTTATTTAACATGTTCAGTGCCTCTGAACACGCACTGCTTGACCTGCAAACAGACTAATCAGTGTGAAGGAATGAGCCGATTTGGGCATAATTTTATCCAAAGGTGAAGCAGCGATGGTCCTGTAAATGATCCCATTTTCAAATAAGAAGATTATGGTTTCTAGTTACGTTTCCATTACAATTGTGCACAAAACTTTATAGGTGTTTGGGGGGGGGAGGGGTATACTTTTGCAATTGTGCGTTTCTGTTGAATAAGAAACACAATTAAAGTCATAATAAAACAAAATTAAAAATAAGATAAAACGTGAATAAGTTTGTTCGTGGGATAAGTCATTAAAAAAAGGCTTTGTCATAATCCTCCTCCTGCCTCCTGGTGTTGTCTTCGTGGACAGCACCAGGAGGCAATATCCGTTTTTTGACAATACAACTCCTGTTATGAGAAAAAAGTGTTTCTATTGCAGTTTTGACAAATAAACAAATTTTGATACTCTTTTTTTCCCCAAAAAAATTATCTGTTTTCCATTAACCAGATTTATTTTCGAAATTATTTGGTCAATGGAAACAATTCAGAATGTTAATAGTTTCATATTCAAAAAAATCTGCAAAATGAATAAAACAGTGATTGGGGAGGGATTTGGGTCTAAGAAGCTGGAGGTTGGTTTGACTTGATAGAAAAGCATGTTTAGCTAATAAAATGGTTGCAGGTGGAGATGAGATGATGGTCAAATCTACCTATTGAGCACACCATTTACTTAGCATACTCTACCATATACAAATCTAAAAATGTCAGCAAAAAGAGAACTGTTTTTATCTTTTAGACATTGAATGTGAATTAAAACTTGTAATTTGGTGGGGGGGGTTTTCAGTTTAATAATGAAGTATAGCTTTTCCTCAGGCTGAATATTGTCTGTTCCAGGTCAGGGAGTGGACACGCCTCTGTCAGAAACAGGTGTGCAGCAGTGCAAAGCTGTGGGACGATACCTTAGAGACATCAAGTTCTGCAAAGTCTTTGTTAGTAACCTGCAGCGAGCTGTGCAGGTAAGACTATGGCACTTCAATCTGTAGAACTAATTTGGACATGATATATCTGATTGTTTTCAACGCTTGATGTGAGATGCATCATAATTCGACACCAGAATAACTCTAGACGGTAAATCAGAATATAAACGATGGCTAAAATTAAGATTATGAACTTGAAAAAGAAATCTGTGTCACTGAAACGCATCACAATCACCCCATTTTAATTAGTAAATAAAGTTTATTTATAAAGCTCTGTCATTGAAATGGAAAATAGACTGTTTTTACTCAAAAATTCTCCAACCTACCAGGAGATTCTTCCTCCACACATGATTTGATTAACCATAGATCAGCAACTAAACACATAAGTCTGTTATTTTTACTAATTCCTGCCTATTCCTGTCATCTTCATGGCAGCATCCATGGAAAATCAGTTGAAGCTCATGTCTGTCTCATTAGTAAGACAGAAAACAGGATGAATGACTTATCAATGAAATAGTTGTTTGGACATTCATGTTTCTGTGAATGTTTGACTCACTGCTGCTTTATGTTGTCCAATCCAGGAATGAATTTTTTGAGTCATTAATTTCCATGTTGCTTGTCTTCTTTCTAGACAGCAGAAATAATTCTGAGGAACAACACTCACTGCTCTGGTATGGAGATGATTTTGGAGCCCTTACTCAGAGAACGGGTAAGATCCGCTCAATTTTAGATGAAAATGAAACCTGGATGTGTTGAATTATTGTTTTTTTTCCTGGGTTCGGTTCTGAGCTGAGTCGTTCTGCTTCAGGGTTTTGGAGTGGCTGAAGGACGTCACAAAGAGGACCTGAGGAACATGGCGAAAGCAGCTGGTCAGTCCTGTCGCGATTTTACGCCACCGGGAGGAGAAACTTTAGACCAGGTGAGTCAGAATTTGTCAATTTACTGCAAAACAGCGACTCACAGTGGCCATCTTTGGGTATTGCAATAAAATAACTTGGCCATTTTCTCAAAATTGCTTTACAAGTATAGAACAATACTGAGAAATTTAATTATTCCATGTTGAAATATAAATTTAAAGCCTTGCTTATTTGTGTTTATTTCCATCTGTTTGTGTGAAAAACTTTTTGGAGCTTTTTTACTTAAAATATGTTGATACAATTATTGCATCAACATCCCTTCCATCAAACAAATGCATTCAAACTTCAGTTTCCTTCATTTGAGGTAATTTTTATGCTCTTTTAACTGATTAGCCACATTGCATTAGTTGCTCAGAAACCCATCAAACATATTAAAAACCTATTAAACTGCAGTTGAAAATGTATGAAAAGTTGAAAAGATGGAGGTTTTTGGGGAAATTTTCTTAACTAAAATGTTTGAGAGCCAGGAAGGTAGATATCAAAATATTTATGTGTAAGAATGGCCCAGTCAAAGTCTAGATTTAAACCCAATTCAGAATCTGTGGAAAGACAAATGTTGTTTTGTAAGAACAGACTGAAATATCAGTGTGGCTCCATGCAAAGCGAATAGAGACACACCTGAAAATGCAGCAAAGGTATTAAATGAGAAGACGGAGAGGATTGTTTTTTTTCCACACTTTTACATTTTTATTTGCCAGAAATACTTGAAACCTTGCATCATTTGCCTTCAATTCACAATTATCCACTACTTTGTGTTAGTTTCTCAGAGACAAAGGTAATAAAATGAAATTGTAACTTCACAAATGGAAAAACCTTTAGGTGACTTGAGTACTGTACAAAATCTTACCAAGTATTTTTGATCGAGTTTCTAGTTCAAATTCCTTAGTACACTTGAAATAACACAAAACTAACTTACAAATAACTTTTCAGCAAATGTAAAATCCCTAAGAAGGAGAATAAAAACAAAAACTCTGCTGAGTTTTCTTCTCCTCAGTGATGTTCAACTTTTAGCGTTCTTGTCGCTTGATTCCAGGTGAAGCAGAGGTTCAAAAATTTCCTCCAAGTTCTTTTTAAACAAATGCTGGACGATCAGGAAACGACCGAAGAAGTCGCCAGTGATGGCCACCAGGGGGCGTCGGCCCACGTCCTGCTGGTGAGCCACGGCGCGTACATCCGCGTGGCCGTCAGGCACCTGCTGGAGGACTTGAGGTGCGTCCTGCCTGCAGGCGTAAAGATGTCGCAGCTGCTCTTGCCGTGTCCCAACACGGGCGTCAGCCGCTTCGTTGTCACTCTGGACCGGAGCGAGTCGGGTCCGCTGCTCTCTGCCGCCCGCTGCCTCTTCACTAACAGGAAGGAGCATCTGGAGAACCTGCCGCCTCTTGAGTAGCAGAGAAGAAACGGAAAATACTGAGCTTCCATAAACGAAATCAAACTGTTGTCTCGATAATCAGCGCGTTTTACTGATTGCCAGTGATGAGAATCATTTCAAAAGTTGCATCTGTAGGAAAAAAGCACTTCATTGATAAACTTTAATAATTTAATACCAAAGTTGAATCTATTTATTTTGTCTTTGAGTGCACATGTTTCTCATTCTACATGTGCAACAAACTATGAAGACCTGAATCATGGTAAAATATCCTGGATAAAAGATTGTAAAGACACTGTGCTACACTTTATTTGTGATATATGTGCCTGTTTGTTTGCTGTGAGGTGTTAAATTATTACTTTTGTTAAATATTGAAATGATTTATAAGCCAAGTGCTTGAAACCTCATTGTCTTAAGGACAAAATCACTAAGTTAAACTGAAACTGGCAACTTTCAGCTCCGTTCAGACATAATTGCACAAGAAAATTAAGAAATACCTCAAACAGATTTCGGTTATTCACTAATGAACGGAGATGTTGACGCTCCAGGTAAAAATGTATAGGAAGCCTTAAAATAAATAAGTTGTTTATTGCAGCAGCATAATCCTAACTGGGATAAAACTCAAACACAAGTAAAAAAGTTAATTATTTTCCCTAAAGTCACAAGTTTTAGATTTGTTGGTATCCTTAGCAATTCCTGTTAGATAAGAGATGACTGCTTTTTTTTACTTCTGTTTAACCTTTCTTTAAATGAAGTCGGTCTCTAGGGCAGGGCTGTCAAACTCCAGTCCACAAGGGGCGCGATCCTGCATCTTTTCGATGTGCCTCTGCTGCACCAGACCTGCATAGAATAATTAGGTCATTAGCAAGGCTCTGGAGAAATTATCTACAGAAGGAGGAGGGAATTAAGCCATTTCATTCCTGTGTTTGGTCCCTTTGGCACATCTAAAAACTGCACTGCACCGACCCTTGAGGACTGAACTTTGACATCTGTGGTCTAGGGTATGCCATCATCAATAATAATAATTAACTGGGTATGAATTTAACATAATTTTTAACTAAATGTTTATAATTTGGAAAACACGAGAGCATGAAATTCAGATAAAGTGCTGTAGGAGATGGTTACAGAGTGAACTGTCTTTTCTCGAGTTTGATTCTTATTTTAATTTTGTCAGGATGCTGATCCGTTTTAGAGAGTTTCAAAATATTTCTAAGATGTAATTGTCATGATTTTAGTGCCTTTCATAGTTTTGGCCTCTGCAATGATCTCTTAATATCCTTTCTCCCCAAAATCACATTTCTTTTTAATGATGAAAGGATAAACAAAATCATCTTCATCATAAGAATATTCAATAAACGTATCGCAACTAGATGTTCGTCTGCCAAGACGTGAATCTGTTTTGTGATAAAACCCACCTCTCATTATTCCTTAATATTTATTCCCACCAGTACAATTGTACGTAAAAGTTGCGTGTTTTTTTTTTTGTGTAAAAATTTGTGCTGCTGCAATAAAAATAAATATTTTCAGCCATTTTACACATCTTTACCAAGAATAGTGAAGGTTGTTGAATGTTAATCTTAAAAGCTTTTTCGCTGTTTCACAAAACAATCCAAATAAGGCAATAAGTGAGCCATAGATGTAAGGCTAGTCAACAGTTTAGATTTTTATTAACTCCAGTATAACCGGGACTCTGCAATCAAACTTTTCTTTTAACGTGAATTTCTCATTAAGTGTTAAAGTATTCAATGTGATTTACGCATCACGTTGTTATGATGTCATGCAGTGAGTGCAGAGCGCTTAAAGTAGCAGACAGACGCTGAAAATGCTTCCTTTTCTCTTTATTTTGCACCAAATTCAAGCAAATCTCCATCAACAACTTCAGCTCATACATTCAAAAGTAAACTTTTATTTTTTTAGTTTGTATGTACTGTAAACTGTTAAGCGTTCTTATAAATACCATAAATAACAATAAAGGAATGGATTTAAATAAATAAATAGTGTTTGGGTTGTTTTTGTTCCGCTGGATGTGCAGCACCTGATTATTTATCACACAAATTTAAACTCAAAATTATGACTTTGTTAAAGTTTTTCACCCTGTAGTCACCTTCTTTTCAAGTCACGTATTGGATGGTGGACAAATACAGTTAAATTCAGCTTTAAATAATAATCTAAGGTTTATCAAGTAACAAAAAATCTGATATGTAAAAGCAATAAAATAAAACGTCAAGTGAACTAGTAGCTACTTCTATGTTTATTTATATGTAGTTTTAGATTTTAAGCGATGCCTGGCTGGCTTCACACCAGCAGACGGGCCTTTTGGTCCTCCAATAAGTCAGGCTTGGGAAAACATCTTTGTGGGAAGAAAACCCACAAAGTACACATTTACATTTGAAACTATTTTTTCTACTGAGCTATGTTAGTTTAAAAAAAAAAACAAGTACATGGAATATAATTTACGTTTTGGGAATTTAACTAAGTATCTAAACTACTATTTAAAAAAATGGTTGAATCTAAAGATCTGATTTTTGGTGAATGTTACAGATTATTTAAATATAAATTGTGCAAAAGTGATTGCAACTCAAGTGAAATGCTCCACCTTCAGTGTGTAAACACTGCTTTTCTAAATCATTCACCAGTAGTTTGGCCTAATCTAAAGACTTTGAAGTAGCAGAATGTAACTTTTATAATTAAAAAATGTTTTTACATATTTGTTTAAACTCTCCACGTTGTGACAGTTTGTTATGAGATAGGTAATCTATGAAAAGATCAATCTCCTCCACCTCTTCCCTTGGCTACTATGGGGGTCTGAAGAAATGCAATCAAAAACAACAAATCAGAACCAGGAGGAGGGTTTTACCGCTGTCAATCACACTCATGTACGCCGCTAAATGCGCTAATGGAGGAGAAACATCTAACTGTTACGTAAAACGATTTATAAGCAGTTATTTGTGTCATTAATGATAAACAGCATTAGAATTCATGCAGAGGGTGATTGACAATGCTAAGACCGGCCTCCTGGTCTGGTTGTTTCTAATTAGCTCAGGGAGAAGACAAAGGAGTCAAATTGTTTTTGTCTCATGCTGTCAGAACATAATGACAGTTTCAACAAATATGTAAAAATATGTACTTTTAATTAAAGTTCCATACTGCAGCTTTCAGAGTAGTTTGCCCCTCTAAGCTCATCCCAGGGTGCCGGTGCTCCGGGGGCTAGCCTGTCTGGAAGACTGCACGTTCCAGGGGTCATGGTTGGACGGAGCCTGGGGCGGCATCTCCCTGGAGACGACCCCGTCGTCCCCAACCTCAGTCTCCACCTCCAGGTCTCCGTCGTCCTCTCGCACGGCCCTGGAGTCCGAGCCGTCCTCGGTCTGCCGGGTCAGGGCGTTGTGTGGGTCTGAGGGGTCCACCACTTGGTTCCTCTTCCCCCTGTGCAGCAGGAGGCGCTCCAGCGGCACCGTGTTCTTCTTCGGCAGGAAGAGGGCGGTCTGCGGCAGGTTCTGGCCCACTGCGTACACCTGCCGGGAGCCCTCCAGGTTGAACAGGATGCTGTTCCGGGTGGAGTAGTAAATGTCCCGGTTGTTCTCCAGAAGCTTGTGGTTGAACAAACATTCCTCCCTGAGACAAACGGACTGCAAGACGAAAAAGGTTTGACATTAATCACCACTTTTGTTCGTTTTGTGTAGGAGGAAAATCTCCAGCTAACCTCTGACGGCTAGCTAAGCTAGGTTGGTTACCTAGCAACAACTCACTCTCTCCGGTTACCAAGCAACGGCCTTTTGAGTAACTTGCGCTGCAGCAGTTTAAGGTTTTGCTTAACTGCCTAAAAATGTTTAAATAAAAGTCGGAGAGGAGAAAAAACAGGAAAGGCCACCAGTTTGGTAGCATTTCAAATATTTAAAACAACAAAACTAATCAATAATTATTGATGTCATTCAGGCCTTCAATACTAAATATTGATTCAAAGTTTTTCTTTTGTCAGTCTATATTGTAAATCATTTTTGGATAGAGCTACATTTTTGTCACAAAAAGTTTTAATTTTTAAATATATATTTATATAAGTTCATAAGTGAATCAAATAGTAAATTCTAACATCATATGTTGTAACAAAACAACTGTGTTGGTTGAGTGAGTTTTACAAATTTCAGAGTTGTTTTTTTTATTAGCATGCACAATAAAACATATTTTTTAAGTTAGATTAGTTGTTTAAATTATTTTAATTTTAACCAAGTATTGTAGTTGAATGTTGAGGCCAACCAGATGTTTTCAATGCTGAAAAAGATCATGGCAAAGCTTCAATCAGTAAATATAATTGAATTAAGTTTCTACAAGTTAGTTTCTTATTTAGTTTATTAAGTTGTCCAACTAAAATAAATGTAATAAATTAATGAGGATACTTTTTCAATAATCAAAGCAATTATTTAAATTGAATCAACTAATTTTACTGTGAAATTAGTTGGAACTTGTTTTGTTCAGTAATTTTAAACATTAAAATTTTTAAATGTTTTTCTGAAACTAAAATGTTTACCAATTGTACCAGGTTTATTACTTATTGGCTAAATTCTATTTATTTTATTAGTGTGAGCTAAACAATTTTTAAATACATATTTTTTTTATGTCTTTAATAAAAGTTAGCAATTGGAAAAAGTGTCCCAATGAAACAGCTGTACAGTTTTATTTGACTTGTACATGTTAGCCTGAACAGCTAAAACACAAATTAAAAATGTACAAGTAAAGGAAAGTTATATTGAAGCATCTTAATTATATCCAAAACGCAGAAATGTAAAACAATAATTGGCCTGAAACTTGGCAAAAAACAGTAACGTCGAACTGCAATAATCTATAATAAAACGCAGCGATAAGAAGTGCGTCAAGGTGGCTAAGTTGTGCAAAAAAAAGCATTAAAAAATGTATTTTTCGGAGGGTTAGTGGTGATTTCAATGACTGGATGTTTACCGAGGTGTAGGGGTTGCCCTCTGAATCCATACACAAGTAGCGGTTGCTTTTGACTCCGAAGATGGCCACGCGCTCCCGTGTTTCAGCTTTCAGTAGAATTACACCTGCAGGTGAAAACAAATCCACTTTAAATGTTAAAGACGGATATTTTCCCAGCCGTAAAGGGACAGATTCGTGGAAAGCAGCGCTTACTGTATGACGTCCTAGACGTGGCTTTGCGCACCGCGCCGTCCAGCCTGATCTCCAGGTAGAAGGTGTTGAGGTCCGTGGAGGTCTGCAGGTGGACGTACCTCCTCGGGTTCCCCCAGTTGGATCCAGCCAGCGGGGACGGGTTCGAGGAGGCTTCCCCAATGGGAAGACCCTGCAGGACGGCGAGGAGGAGCGCCAGCACGGTGTCCCTCATCCCGGGTCGCTTGCTGACGTCCATCCTGCTGGTTTCCACTTGGAGCTCTGTTGCGCTAAAGTTTGCGGACTGCACCTTTTTAAACCCCTCCAAGCGCCACTCCTGCTAGGAAAAAAAAAGCAAAACAGTCGCCCCCAAAGATGTGCGGGCTGCTGCAAACGGAAGGACCACTTCCACCTCGGAGTGTTTATCCCAGAGCTGTTGGTCAAACACGACCAACAGCTCGTATTTTTGGTTTCACGTCTCTCCTCCTCCACTTCAACCTGTTTATTCATAATCCAGTTCAGGTTGTCATGCAGAGTCACTTCATATGATTGTACAATTATAACAACTCAATATTGACCTGAAACCGTTTAAAATGTAGCCACGTTTGTTTGTGTGATTTTAGATTAAAATTAATGCTTCAAGTGACTTTATTGGCAACTTTTGCTCGAATGTTCTATACGCACTAGACTTTGTCCGTCCTGTTTCTTACTTTGACGCACCTGCACGTCTGCACATTTACACTGTTTCACCAGCAGATGGAGACATTCCCTTACTCAGGATTAATCCGACAGAAGAGGATAAAAAGTTGCATCTTTTTGAAAAAATGCAGAAACAGGAAACTATAAACTGGCTATAATTCTGTTTTTTTTTTTTAGAAAAACTGCCTGCTCTCGAGGAATTAAGTTTCTGTTTTTCTGTAGAAATTTAAATCTTTTCCACTTTTAACTTGCTTTCTTCTATCAACCTAAATAAAATTGTGCAAAATATAAATAAAAATGATTTTGAAAATAAGAATTGGCAGCACAAGTTTGAAAGTTTGATTTCACTGTGGATTTTTTTTTCTTTCTTGGTGATATTTTGTACTCTTCTGGGCAGTGAATTGATTTCTTTGCATTCGTGACGATTTTCTGTATAATTTGTACACATTTTCACCATTATGCTTGCCAGTTATTGTATATTGGAAAACCTCATCTTTACTCATGCGACCTTTCATTGAACCATTAAACTTTTCTCCAGAAAAGTCCAGATTTACGCTGTGGATAGCAGTGCATCTTTAGGACTTTTAAAAATTAATTGTTGAATGCTGTATGTAAACTTTTGAGCAGCACTGTTTTTTTTTCCTAGTTGTAGAACAAATGAAAATCACTTGCGTTTCCAGATTCTTTCTCATTTCCTGGAAAATAAATAACATACACAGGTTGCATTGTCTTTTTATCTAATATTTTTTTAGAAATGTCTGCCGCGGTTGCTTCCTGAGCAACTCTTAGATTTTCCCAACAAAACACCGACTCTAAGACAAACCAGAAGATGTCAGCATTAACTAGTCTGTTTCAGGGCGAGGTAGCATTATTTAATGCTGTGCCAGATATAAACTCCAGAGTAAGTTCATCTTCTTGTCTAATTTTAGACTAAAACTATAAATAACGCAGAGCTTTGCCTTGAACGTCATGGATGTAGTTTGTTGACAAACTCAAATTCAGTGGTTTTAATTGTGTTTTTCTACAACCTTTAACTTTTGAATGTGGACACAACACATCATCAGCCACACGTTTAAAAAAAAAACAAAACAAACTTTTATTATTTCTTGTCTCAGGAATACAGTAGATTGCTGTGCACAGCACATACGTACAAAAATAAAAGGAACAAAAATAATTAGCAATGTCTGCCCACAGAAACAAATCACTAATGTTTGTTTCTTCTTGTTTTACAGTGATCAGCAAACCAAAACTAAGGCAGGAGGTGAGGTATATGAGAACAGAGGAATCGAGAACACATGAAGCCCGCGCCTCAAAACTCAGGCTGCTGCTGTACATTCAAACATAAAACGACATTTTCCCTACCGTCACTTAAGTTAAACTGAAAAGAAGATGTGGAAAGAAAAATAAATAGCAAGAAAATTGTTGTTTTTTTCCCTTTTTTGCGAAAATACGATTGGGATCAAAGCTGAACGCTGAGTTTTAAGTATCAAACATGTTTATTTGCTGTTGTTTACTGATCGAGATGTCTGCTTTAAAGTGCTACTAGAGACATCAGACTTCTTGATGTGCAAGTTTAACTTTTACTTTCTTAGCCTAAATCAAATTCCGAGGAATCTCCGAAGGAACTAACATGCAGTCTCATCTACAAATTTGTATCTTTGTTTCTTTTAGGAAAGCTTCTTCATCCTTCTGAGCTGAAGCGGTTTTACATGCGAGGAGACATGAATCCAAACGGCGTGTCAGCACGAGGTCAGGACAGACGGTGGTTTGCAGCAGCAGAGGTGAGCTCAGCATCTGCATCATCAGAGACTGCAGCAACTCTGCAAAGGTCCTGGCTGCAGAAACACCACCGCTTTGAGGAAAGAGCAGGGAACATGATAAAAGATGCATTTTTAGCAGTTAGCAGATGAAATCTGTTGAAAAAAAAGAAAACTTCATCCAGTTCTTTGTGAAATTATTCAAGTACCTTCATATTTGACGTATGTTTCAGTGTTTAACTGGGATTTTATGTGATGGACCAACACAAATTAGCACAAAATTGTGAAGTGGAAGGAAGCAGGTGCATGGCTCGTTTACGAATCATCTCATCTCATCTCATCTCATCTCATCTCTGCAAATGAAATCCATTGCGACCGATAACCTTCTGAAATCATCTTATCAGTAAGTACACACAGATCTGACCTTGATCTGTGTGAATATGTTGAGTCACATTCACACAGATGGAAATTAGCTTATTAATGTTTTTTGCACCTAGTCTCTGTTTTAAATAAGCCAAACTAAATGGGCACTGCGCGTTACCTAGGAACCCAAGTTGAGCTCCGGCTTGTTTTGTCAGCTGATTTTACCACTGCATGCACTGTACAATGGCTGCTGAAAAACAGAAGTATTTTGTTCTTGATTTACCATCCAGAAACCACTTGCTGCATTCTTGTCAGTTGCGCAGGAGGCTCTGCTAATGCTTTTCATAATGTGCGGTTGTATAATTGCGCATGCTAGCAGCCATTTTCACGTGCTAGTTTCAATGTTGAGTTTAAATTGTCAAGAGAAGCTCAATGTAGGCAGATTAAAATCTCATTAAGACTTATTTAAATGTAATGAACATGTTTTGCGTCACCGATCCTAATCTGTTTAAGGAAGCATAATAAGCCACCTAAAACAATATTTCAAGGTATGAACATAACATAGAGCTGTGTTCAATGCATCATCTGCAAAGGTAAAGAGTATAGCACAACTACAAACCTACAAAACATGGCTCTCCACCAGAACTCACAGCCAAATTCAACAACAATCATAAATCTGTTTCTTTCCACTTCACAGTTATTCTCTTTGCATTGATATCTCACATATAGTTTGTAGTTTTAGAAGACACGTGAAGGGATATGAGCACTTTTAAAAAGACGATGTAAGTTCCTGTTGTGGACAACAGACCACCCTGACCACTGGCTGCTCAGTGACTCTGACCTTGAACTAAAAAAGGCTGAAATGAGAGGAGGAAGCTGACAGGTTAAAACTGGAATCTGAAAGGTTCCTCCCTGCAGCGGGTGAAGGTTGGGGGTAGCAAACAGGCAGAGGTGGACAGCGCAGCCTGTCAAGAGTTCAGGTATGCGGGGAAGCGCCCCTGTCATCCTGGCAGACCCGCATTCCTGCTCGGGGGGGCCGGTTTGACAAACAAAGACAGCATGCACACGTCTTTCCTGGGTTTAAATATTCCTGCTTCCTGTCGCACAGGAATGAAGCAGTTAACAGCTGCAGGAACTACATGTAGATCCACTCCGGTGGAGTCTGGGGAATTCAGAGAACGAGTCGAGAAAAACATCTTTGGAATACTGAACGAGAATATCCGATTCGTGAGTCGGCAAAACGGCCTCCAACTTCTGCTTTGTGGACAAACTGCTGCTATTTATACCGAAAGCCCCTCCTCCTCTGTGGAGAAATAGTTGAGCCTTAATGTAGGTGCTGAACGCCAAAATTGCATTTAGGTCTGAAAAAGACAGAAAGGCTGCAAAAAAATCCCCCCAAACACAAAACCAAAGACAAACCGAGTGTTTTAAGTAGCATCATTGCTGGTTTCTTGTGCAGCCTTTTGTATTTTTTGTGCTACAAAAACATCTTCTTTTAAACTTGCAGCTATTTACATTGTTTTCCATTTCCTTTAGCAGCTATAAGCTTCGCATTTCCAAAAAAAACAGCAGCACACTCTACTGCTATTTGCTATTTGCTTCGTCCACTCAGTCAATAATTGTGCAGAAGCAAGCCAAGTCCGACCCGAACCGTTCCCCCATGCTGTGGCACATACGGATTTCCACCCTGTTTTCTTAGCTACACAGTTAAACACCTGGCCTTGCGCCAGCCTCCATGGCCGACCGTTCTCTGGTCTCAACCACAGATTGTTTATTACTTAATCGATCTAATTACAGAAAAGAAAATAAACCAGAGATAGCCGACCCCCTCCTCCCTCATTCCCCTCTACTGAGGCCCTCTCTCCGGAGCGTCAGCCCTATTTCTGACTCGCCCGGGTGTCTCTTACACAGAGGTTTAAAGGGGGCCAGCAAGTGGGAACACCAAGGCACCTTTAAATCGTGCAGGAACGAAGTAGTGCATTTAAATTTCTCTCTCCCCTCCACTGCAGGACAACAGTAACCGAGCAGTGAACCGTCAAGCATTCAAAGGTTTGAATAAAACGATAAACTCAGCAGATATTTGAGCAGAAGTCCATGCAGTCCTTCATCTAGTGAAGTGGTTCGTTGAGGTAATAAAAAGTATTCATTTCACTCTTTAAAACAGCATTTAAGCTCATCCTCCATTTCAGAAAAGTAGGTGGCGTGTATTTCAGTTTCAGCAAGCACCAAGGTAAAGTGGGACAGGGAAGGGCTTCGACTCGCCCTGTCCAGAAAAACAATAAGCAGCACAGTTTGGCATACATTTACAAACACGGCTATCCAAATATACACATAAATATGTATAACAGAATAAATATTTGTGTTTTCCTTCGCAGTTCATGGGTGCATCTGTCGTGACTTTCCATTTCTACATATTTGTTACCTGGAGGAACATCCACATGTGCAAATTTCTCTGAAAATGTCAGCTTCTTTCATAGTCGCGGGAGGAAATGTGTGACAGTCATGGCGGTGGTCGCCTTGTTGCCTCGCTTTACCCGGCCGTGCTTGCTCAGGCCGATGTAGAAGCCCTTGTAAACAAAAGACTCGTAGGCGTTGTAGTTGTTCGGCAGCAGCGTCTCCTTGAACTTGCACTCGTCCTTGAAGAGGCTCTGGATAAGAAACATTTCCGTCAGTAAACATCACAAACCAGATATTTACACACTGTCTAAAGAGACGCAGTGTTTTTTTTTTTCTCAAATTGGTAGCATAAAATCCAGATTTGGTAGTAACTAGTTACATTTACTTCATTTACTTGAGTAACATTTTGGAAAAGATGTGCTTTTAGGAGTATTTTTTACTACTTCGAGACTGAAAAAAATGTCTTCTTGTCTATATGTTCAAAAAAGATAAAACTAACTTGTAAGTAACTGTTCAGCAACATATAGGAGCCTGTTTTAGTGAATAAATCTTCATTAATGATCGGAAAATATCTGATTATAAGTGAAATAATCTGCTAGTAGAACCATTACCTTTTAATCAATATTAAATAATTTTTCTCTTAAAAGAAATTCCTATATTTTGCTGAAAAGTTACTTGTAAGCTACTTTTGTCTTATTGCAAGTGCACTAAGAACCTAGACCAAAAGTGTACTTGAGTAATTTTATTATGAAATATTGCTACTCTTACTTCACAGAATGAAGAACAAAATTATTTTGGTTTTTTTCAAAGAAATTGATTTGGAAAATATTTTCATTTTGGTCTTTAAACTGCCAAAATTTCCAGATAACTTTATATTTTGGTCTGTTTGATGACATACTTTTAAATTGGTAAATGTTTTGATGAGTTACTCAGAAACTGAGTAATTACTTTTCTTTTACTTGATTAAAAATATGTTGAAGTAGCTCTACTCTTGCGACTTCAACATCTTTTGGTAATTTTTCTCTGAATGGTAGGAAAAACAAAAGAAATCAGTGAAATACTGATCCTCAAACAACTATGTGTGAGTTTAAAACTGAGAATAAGTCGGTGCGTTCTGTGTCTCAGAGATGAACATATTTTGCTTTAGGGTGTAAAACAAAAGCTACAAACCTTGTAAGGATGACAGCTGGCACTGATTACAGAGTTATATTATTTGTGCCAAAATGGACTGAAAAGCCAGTCAGTTAGGAAGAAGGCAGAATTAGTTTGAAGAGCTCAGAGGTTTCATTTGACTTCTCTCAGCACTGGAAACAATGTTTGTTTTGTTGCTAAATATTGTTAGCAATAAAATCCAGTAATTCTTTCCATCTGAAGCGTTCAAACACAAAGTAACATTGATATTTTACAGCATTATGTGGGGTCATGTGGTTTAATGAGGTGCAATCTATTAAAAGTGATAATAAATAGCAGCTTTTACAATGTCCTAAACATAGTTCAGCCATTTTGGGTGCTGAGCTGCAGATTGCCCTGTGACTTTCCCATTCAGCCCTCTGACTCCAGTTCTTTATAAGACTGGAAACCGAGAAAATTTTGACTTCTGAGTCACAAGCAGTGAGAAAAATACTGAGGTGTAATGGAGCATTTAGTATTATTAATCATTAGCAGTGGAGATAAATGTGTATTTTTATTATGTTTTTCAGAAAAGATTGTAAAATTCTCAAACAGTGCCTTCCAGAAATTATCATTGTCAAACTCATGGTTCAGGGGCCAAATTTAGGCCACCATAATTTTATGTGGCCCTCTTGATACTCGGGAGATACATAACTAGTTCCTATCAAATCAAATCAGTTTTTAATCTGCTTTATTCCAAATTACATCAGTATAAAAAAGTTTGGTATTATTTAACTGAAAGAAGTTATCGAATGCAGGCACCAATTTATTCATATTTTAGCAGTTTAATGTGGAATATTATCGATATATTTTGCCGCATCTCGTTCTTTGACCCCAAATAAAAATGATCGGAACCCCGATTTTAAAGTCGTTCACATTTTCCATGTTGCAGTCACAAAGTCAATTCATTTTATTGAATTTCATGCCACAAACACAAAGTTGAGTTTTTTTTTTTTTTTAAATAAATGATAATCTGAAAAGTATGGCGTGCATTTGTATTCACCCCCTTTCACTACGATACCCTTAAAAGAAATCACGGGTTATTTTTTCTCTTTGAAGGGCGAAATAAGTAAACAGACTCCACCTGTGTGGAAATTAATCTCAGAATAAATCCAGATGGATATAAGTGAACAAACAGCATCATGAAGAACAAGAAACCCTGCAGGCAGCAGTGGAAACATAATCAAAAATTGAAAAGTATTACAGCTAAATTTCAACCAACATATTGTGGAAAACTAACTTACAAGTAACTTTTCAGCAAAATATGACAGCTAGGTTTGAGTAAATAATTCATTAATACTGATGACAGATCATTTTACTTACAAGATATTTTCCCATGTTATCAGTGAAATAATCTCATCAATATTAATTATTTATTTAAAACATACTTCTTTATCTTGCTTGGTTAGTTTTCAAGTACTTGCACAAGAAACTAGACCAAATAAAATGTAAAATTTTGCGTTTTTGCAGTGAGGGCTCAACAACAAACCATTCCCACAGTGAAGCACGGCGATGGCAGCATCATAATGTGTCATGCTTCAGTTAAGGGGAAGGAGCTACAAACTGGAGGGCAACATCCCTAAACATTAAACCAGCTACAATCCAATGGTTTAAAATCAAACATTGTCAGGCATTAGAATGGCCCAGTCAAAGCCCGACTTTAATCCAAGTAAGAATCTTTCATCATACTTGAAAATTTATGTTATGTCTGAAGTTTTACACATATCAAAAGCTGGTAGAGACATGGAGCAAAAAGACCTGCACCTGGAATTACAACACATGCAAGCATACTCCACACTTTTCAGATTTTCATTTGCAAAAAGGTTGAAACCCATAAAACCCATAAAAATTGTTTATTTACTTCAGCTTTATGTTGATCTATCTGATAAAATGACTCTAATATCTGCTTTGCTATGTTTCTAAGGTTCTATTCGACAGGTCGTGGCTTTTCAACTGTTGGCATTTTTCAGAGAAACTGCAGAAATATTTTCCAAAACCTTCAACAATCTCAGTTTTATATTGAGTTTTAACAAACAACCAACGCAGAAATCTTCTTCCAATTCTAATTTCAAAATATTTTTGTTATTGTTTTACTCGTCTTTCAAATTATGCAGATAGACTTACTTTGAATTTTTTCAAAATAAAATCCACATTTCTTACAAATGCAATGGAAATAATAAAACAATAATGTACCCATATTGTTTCTTATTGTGACCTTAAATATGACCTTGACTAACTTTTAGTCATAAATATATTAATTTACTGTGATTCAGGACATAGATAATAGTAAATCTGTAGTTTTTATGAGCAATATATGTAATTAATATTGTTCCTAAAAATGACTAATAGTCATCACGTTTTGGCATAAGGTCTGAACTGATGGGTTTACAGAAGGTCGTTGATATGACAAGTCCCCCAATTTTTACAAATTATTTAAAAAAATATTGAAAATAACACCATGAAACAACAATATTGAAAACTATTTTAGTACAACTGGAAATAAATGACAAAATGATGCAAGAGTTTGAATGAATCTGATCAAATCTAAAGTCCAAACTAAACAAGTGTAACATTATATTTCTGTTTAAAGAAACCAGAGAGCAGATCAATTTTTACTTTTAACAAAGCAGTAAAATATATTATTCTATATAGATATAGAGGTGATTGATTCAGCAGAGTGCTGCATCAATTTTCTTTATTATTTCTATAAATACATATGGTCTGTTTTGTGTTTAAAGATGCATTTATATGGATTATTGATTGATGCTAGTTGCTTATTAATTCACTTTTAAGAGAAAGGATTTTCTAAATATCTTTTTTCAAAACACTCCTTTTGTTTACAACTTCCAATGAATAGAATAAACTTTTTCACATCCAATTTAGGCTTAAAATCCACATCCTTTAAAATATATCAGTATTTTTGTTATTCATTAAGAACTTTTAGTGCCTGAATAAACATTTGCAACCAGTTTGTAAATATTTAATAAGAGTTAAATTACATTTCAGCAAATATTCTGTCATAATTAGTGGTGCACATTTTAATTGAATCTCCGTCTTATGTCAAATTGATCCATCATAAAGTAAGAAAAAAATCTAAAAAACATAGTTGAAAGTATTTTTTTCTGTTTGAAACTTACTCTGTTTACTTTAATAAGAATAATCAGTATATAAAATAAAAATGGTTACATTTCCCCACGTCTCTCCTTAAAAAGAACATTTTAAATCAATACATTTCTTGAACAATCTTTTTTTTTCTGTGCAAGTTTATCTGATGGACAGTAAAAAAAAAATCAAATTCATTTTTAAATTAAAAGCCAATTACTGGTTACATCATTGCACTAAATATTGAATGAAATAGTTATAAATGTGATTAATAATCGGATTCAAAGACATTTTTGGGCAAACATTTGGGATTCTGACACTATTGAATGGTAAAACTGCACTCCGGAAATCAAAATAACAGAAGGTTTAAGCTTTCTAGATAGACTGTGACATTTTCAGCAGAGATGGTATATGGATTCCTGTCCTCTCCCATCATCAGGATGTATTAACACCAGAATAAAGCAGCGGATGCAGCAGCAGCTCTGTGTGAACTCCTTACACTCAGCAGGATGTGGGACTGAGTTGCGCACTGTTACGTACCGTTCCGTACAACCTTCCTCTGCTGTTCATTGCGACAAACAGCTGACTCCTCACCCCGAACAGGCTGATCACCCCTCGGTCCACGGTGGAGATCTCTATCAGACCTGAATGAGACACAATGTTAAGGAGACAGGGTCAGTGCGCCGCTGCGCTTCAGGACAAGTTGAAGTGGCCTATGCAGCAGTGATGGGTGTAACCTTGCAGGTGCACTGCGACTCGGATGATGCTCGGTTTTGTGTGCCGTAATCAGCTTTTTGCATGTTAGACATTGTGGGTGGTTTACAGCGTGCTGAGAGCAACATGAGCGTCCCGCAGCGGGGTAAAAATAAGTCGGCGTCATGCATTCGTGTCATGTCTTCGAGCTGCACGGTGCTCTTGGTTTTGCTTTCGGAAACTTTCAACCAAAATATCATGCAAGGAAAAACCCGGCTTTAACTTTCACACAGCGACACTCGCTTTTGGATGCATTTGCGGGATGCAACTCACTGTATGGGTTTTCACTGTGCACACCGCTTATCCTGCCATCCGGGAGCACCTGCAGGTGAAACCCAATGCCCACGTTGCAGTACAGCCGCCGCACTCTTTTGATGCCCTGCAAGTAGTCGCTCTGCCAGTTCAGCTGCGATCTGCCCCCGTTTACACCCAGATAGGAGCGGGAGAAAAGCGTCTCCCACTTCCTTTCTAACAAAGTAGCGTTAGTCCTGTTCGGGGTCGGGAAAGAGGAAGCGATTGCCCACAGAGAAGTCCACAGAACAATAACTGCTGGCAGCGTCCAGTGCGTCTCGGCCCCGCTGCGCATGCTGTAGTGACACCTTTGCGCAATGGCCATCCAGTTTACCTTTGGGGCACCTGGTTAAAGTTACCTGCCCTAAAAAAGCAACTCTTCTTATCTTCTGTCCTTTGGCATGTTGGCGATGAAGGTTCAGAGTTTGTGGGTCAGAGTAGATCAGGGCCCCATGGCCCGAGATCTGAGCGAGTGGAGAACAGAACGCGTCGGAGCTTGGATTGGTGCTGGTGACGATGACCATCTTTCGCCGCTCCGCGCCTTTGTGCAGGCAACGCTGGCCGTGGAGGGGGGCACCACTCACTGCAAGATCAGCTCACCTTGCCCCCTACTCTCTCACATCCTCAAATGACATCACTGTGACTTCAGCGCTGCGTGCAGCTCCCCCATTACGAGAAGGAGGTGGGAGGAGGAGAGAGCACCTCAGCAGCACCAGCAAGTCTGATTGGAGTGATGGGGGGGCTGCACCTTCACACCAGCCTCAGGCAAGTCAGAAGGACTTAGAACCAGAGCTTCCTCCGGTGATTTTCAAAATAAAACCTTCTGCTTGTCAATGACTGTGCAAATATAATGTTAGGCTACATATTTCTACAATTTCACAGTTAGAATCAGAAAATTGATATCCAACAAAATTAATCAGGTAGAAACAAAAAGCAGTTTTCAAATGATTTTATTTAATAAAACTACAGTATGTCACTTTTACAAAAAAAATATATTCTTATTTATTAAAACTGTCATCATGTCACAGTGTAATGTGAAACATAATCTGGAAAAAATCTAATTATTCCACCTCCTCCCTCAGATACTACTGTCTGCAAAAATGTCTAAAACAACCAATCAGAGCCAGGAGGAGGGTCTTAGTGCTGTCAATCATCCTCATGTACTCTGTACAAAAACTTATGTTTATGTCATTGGTGGCTATGCTAACTTGCCTTAGCATTAGTGGCAGGCTATGTTGTGGTGAAGCAGCTGAGAGCAAGTGGGAGGTCTGAGTATGAGGATGATTGACAGCGCTAAGACCCTCCTCCTGTCTGATTGGTTGTTTCTGACAGCATAGTGTATTGTTTGCAGTTACTACTGAGAGAAGACAGAGGAGTTAGAGTTTTTTCACAGATTAGGTGTCTTATATTGTACTGTCACGACATAATGATCATTTTAAACAAATGTGTAAAAAAAACAAAAAAACATATTTTTTGTAAAAGTCACATGCCATTTTTCCAGCCTATCTGATCTTGTTTTAACTCAATAATTTCTCAATGTTGATGAAAAATCTAAGTTATAAGTTAAATAATCTGTAAGTGGAAGAAAACATTTTGACTTATAGGGGACGTGAAACGCTGCATTATTAAACTTTTTCCTCCTTATTTTGAATGCAAACCAGCCTATTTTTTCACTCTTCCTCAATATAACAGAGCTAACTTGACCTAGATCCTCCTCACATGGGAAACCTTCAGAGGGTGTCAGTAAGAGAGAGAGGGAGAGTTTGGCTTTTATTGGCATAGAGCAAGCATTGGAGAGATGGATGGATACTGTGTCCAGGGCCCAAATCGGGACGGTGGTCATATGTCCTGGCAGCCTGCGGCCTTATTTAGAAGGAGGTGTAAAAACAGTCTCGGGGGAGCAAATGGCAATCCTGTCTGACACTTCCCTCGCTGTTTGTCCAGGAAGTTTACACAACCAAAATATTCTCCCAGGTCAGATTGCATATTGTTATTATTGTTATTGTAACTAGCGCACTCTTCAGCATAAAAATACAACCTGCATGGATCAAATTCATTGAATACTTTTGCGTTTCGCTCCACAAATCAAGTCAAACTCAGGCATATAGACAGATAAACGCCAACCTGATGAATCTTAAGAAAAATTTAACCACGATATGACGTCCATCCAAGAATTATTTTTGCTTGGATCACAAAATATATATATATATGCATTTATCTATTTCTGATTTACTACAGACACCTTATCATTATTATTATGGGAAAAAGTATCTTCTTTTGCAGATAAATAATAAATATTTCTTAAAATATAAATCAATCAATATTTAGTTATACAAGTACTTTAAAATGTTTTATTAGTCAATGACTGTGCAGATTCCTTTTGAAACAAGCAATTAAAAAGTTTGCCCACATATTTCTAAATTTATGCGTTCATTTTCACAATTTTAGATCATCAAACAACTTGATATCCAACAAAGAGAATCTGAGTAGATATAAAAATCAGATTTCAAATAATTTCATTTATTAACAGTTAAAAACGGTATTCAGATCAGCCTAACTCTATGTGAAAAAGAATTGCTCTCTAAACTCAATAAAAGGTTGGCAGCTTTTGTGATGATCAGTCTGTAACTTCATATGGAAGATTTATATATATGCATTTAATTATTTACTTTTTAAAAAATGTCCTATTTGCAGTAGACTGGGTTTAGATTATTAACTGAACATTGTTGTTTACATGTCAAAGATCTTTGGTAGATGTATGATCCTTAAAGCCAAACAGTCACTTTTGTAACTGGAAGAAAATAGTTGAATTTAGAAAAAACAGCCAATAAGCATAGATATGTATAAAATAAAAGATTTGATCAAATATAAACGCTTCACTCGTTTCTATCCATGATATTTATCTTCAGTTTTAAGTTATTCTGCAGAATCTGAAAATAGTCCCCTATCAGCTTAAAATAAAAAGTTTATGACATTCTTTAAGTTTTGACTTTCTTGAAAAGGATAATTGGAGTGATGTTGGCAGTAAGGAATACCTCTGAGGAGTTCCTCAGGGTCGTGTACTCGGTCCTTGTTTTTTTTAATGACACATGAAGAAACAAAAGTGAGCTAATTAGGCTTAAATATTGATTTATGTGTTCATTCTTTACTCAGTAATTTTAAGGTTTCCATTTTTTCCATCACTATCATGATAGACAGTCTGAATGCTTATGCTGAAATTTTAATTTGTAGTATATTTTAGTGCATCAAAATCCAAAACCAAAAATTGCTGAAATGTTTGTTTTTCTACACACAGCCTTTATAATATCAATTTATTTTCATCTAACACTAGCAACATGTGTGGTGTATATTCTACAATGGAGGTAAAACCTGATAAACACCAGATCATTTTTCATATTCCTTGTTTGTAAAAACCCGACAAGTTTGTTGAAATCTGTGTTTTACTCTTTTTCTTCCCCAAGGGACAAACTATCCAGATCACACTGAGTAACAAATTAATGAGACAGGCTTTTTATTTGCTGCATCAGCACATGTCTATGCTAACCAAGGCAACCAATAGCCTGAATAGACAAAACTACTGGGTTATTGACAGAGTGGAACCTAAATCGATGGACAGTGTGGCTGTTAATGAGACGGTGCTGAGCTCTTCAGATTAACTCAGCTAATACTGGGGTGATGCTGATGCTGCTCTTCAGTCATGACTACTTTCAATAATTAAAAGAAAAGTAATTAGAAGTAAACGCACTCTGACGGAACGAGACATTTAGATGATATATTTGCACATGCTTTAAAAACGCAGATGAACGTGACCAGAAATGGACCAGAAATTAAATTGTTGCTTAATAAACTAGAAAACATTGTTCATGCTTCCTGGAGCAAAGCCAGAGTTTAATGTCTGAGTTCATCAGGTTTGAAGAGCTTAAAATAACACTGACTTTGTGTCCAAATATGCATGTTCTTCAGGAAATCCTTCTGTTATTTCATCTGGTTTGGACTGAAGGTCGTCTGTATACGAGTGCATATTTTAACCTGATATCACAATGTCACCAGCCACATGTGATCCATACGATTTCTGCTTATCTTTCCTGCTCCCGTTATTTTATCACCCAATTAAGAATCTGCAAAATATTCAATTATAACTTGCTTAAAATGCAAATGCTTAGAAATGTTGAGGCTTTTATTTTGTAGTTATCTATAAGCTGTTGAGCTATTTCCATCACTGTTTCAGTTTCAGTAAAACAAGAAGGCTTTTATTTTGTAGAGCATGTTTAAGTTTTATTTTGAAACTTAAAAGGAGAGTTGCCCTTTTAGGTTTGGTTTAGCTATCATAGTGGCATTAGAGCATTCACTATGTGAGCTACTGACATGTAAAAATTGAATAACTGGAAAATTAAGGCTTTTATTTTGACAAGTAAACACTTCCTAGTTTATTGCAGTTTATTCAGTGGTAGATTTAGGGTCAATTTAGTCTACACATATATCAAAGCAGTAGAAGAGAGATAGATTAAAGATGCAAAGAGCTTTCAATCAGTGTTTTATTAATGCATGATTTGAAAAATTAAATATTAAAACAGCAGCTGGGCAGACGCAGAGGAGAGGGGGGATCTCTGGCGTGACCTCAGGATCTCTCAATAATAATTGTCACAGCTGAGCAATAATTTATGATGCTGCAAAGCTGCACAAATGAACGCCTAGAGACGGAGAAACTGTTTATGGTAGCAGCAGCAACATGTGAATTAATTGCATTAAATTTAGTAATTAATCAAGGTGATGCATGAAAATGTCATCCTCATGAGAACGATAGATGGCATCTGAAACTTTGACCAGTTAACTCAGAAAATGTCTCACAAAATCTTTGTTTGCCACAAAGAAAAGTGATAAAAAGGACGTTATAGCTTTAAATTTAATGGGATAACAAATTAGTGTAAAATTTGCAGCGTTTTTAGTGCTGCACTAATGGAAAACACTTTGGTTCAGTAGCCACAGTTGTAAAGTGCTATCAAAATAAAATAAAATATAATTACTAAATTTAATGCAATTAATTCACATGTTGCTTGATTGATTGATTTGCAGTTAAATGTTTATCAGCTTAAAAATAAATGGATGAAATAAGCTGTGAGATAAATTACTGGAAATTAAAAGTTTTAATTTAAAATTTTGTAATATACTTTATCTATCTATCTATCTATCTATCTATCTATCTATCTATCTATCTATCTATCTATCTATCTATCTATCTATCTATCTATCTATCTATCTATCTATCTATCTATCTATCTATCTATCTATCTATCTATCTATCTATCTATCTATCTATCTATCTATCTATCTATCTATCTATCTATCTATCTATCTATCTATCTATCTATCTTAGTCTGTAATGAAAGCTTTCTTGTGGATCATTCCAGGTTATTGGTTGGTTATTGGTTTGTTATTTCATGATTGGTATTGAAGGAGCAGCAGCTTGTAAAACACTGATGTTCTCCCATGAAGCGGCTCTGGGTTCAGATTTGTGCTGAGGCAGCTGATGAATAATTCAGCAGCCAAAAACTGCAGATGGTGTTCCCCCTCCTGCTTCATATATTTGTGACCCAAGAAAACCCAGCCCACCTCACTGGAGCGTAAACGCAGCAGACACTTAAACACGGTAACGTGTGTGTGATTTTATGAAGTATTTATGAAAGAAATCTGTTTCTGTCGTTATACGTTTGTCAAGAGCGGAGCTGCAGGAGG